AAGACTTGCCATCTCTTACCTTTGCCCAAGCTCCCCACAGCAAACCAAACAGCAGAACTGTTGATGAGGCATGTGTTCAGGATCCACAGTTTTCCGCAGGATATGGTTTCCGACCGGGGTCCACAGTTCACTTCCCGGTTCTGGAAGGCATTCGGCCGGCTCATCGGATCTTCCATCAGTCTGTCTTCGGGCTTCCACCTCCAGTCCAACGGCAAGACAGAGAGAGTAAATCAAGACATTGAAAGGACATTAAGATGCCTGGTTGCCGACAATCAATCCACATGGAGCTCTCGAATAATCTGGGCTGAATTTGCACATAACACCCTTTACCATTCCTCCCTAGACATGTATCCTTTTGAATGTCAGTATGGTTTCCCTCCCCCTCTGTTTCCCGGACAGGAGATAGAGGTTGACGTCCCTGCTGCTACTCAGCTGGTCCGCCTGTGCCGACGTTCCTGGCAAAGAGCACGTGTTGCTTTATTGAGAGCCACCCGACAACAGAGCAAGGCTAACCGACACCGGAGGGTGGGACCAACATTTCACTCAGGGGTGGAATCCTGCAAGCTGGCCCCATGATACATCGGTCCATTCAAGATCCTCCGAAAGATTAATCCAGTTTCCTATTGACTCCATCTGCCCAGGTCCATGAGGGTTCACCCCACTTTTCATGTTTCCCAGTTAAAACCTGTTGTTTGCTCTACTCTGACCCCAGTTAGGAAGCCTGCCCCAGTACCTCGCATCATTGATGGCCAGCCAGCTTACACAGTCCGCAGACTGCTTAATTCCCGCCAGGTCCGCGGGAGAACTCAATATCTGGTGGACTGGGAGGGCTATTGCCCGGAGGAGCGGACCTGGGTTCCTGCTCGAGACATCCTGGATCCGACTCTCGTCTCAGAGTTTCACCGGGCCTGAGGGAACTGCCAGAAGAACGTCAGGAGCCGTTCCTAGGGGAGGGGCTCCTGTAAAGATCTCATCTTTGGGTTGCTGTTCCCCTCCTGACCAGCAGGGGGTGCTCTCCTTGAGTCTTCTATGCCATGCTCCCTCCAGGCCTACAGATGGCACTTATACTCTGAGCCCTGATCTCTCCACTCCTGCAGATGGCGCCAACGTCCCTAACCTTATTCAGCACTCTACTCGTTAACTATCATACCCTTCACCTGTGTCTAGCCCTTTATAAGTTTGTTTGTTCCCTGCCTTTGTGTTCAGTCTTGAGCCTATATTTTCTGTGCTCCAATGCTCTGTGATCAGTTATCAAGTTAAATTTGTTTTTTATTACACCTTTTGACCCTTCTGTCTATTTTGCTGCTCTTCTGCTTTTGGGTTCAACTGTTGGGGAGTTAGCTCAGTGGTAAACACCTTGCACTTGAGCACTGCAGACGCGGGTTCGATCCCCACCTAAGGCAGCCACGTTATAGTAAAGGTCTTTTTCAGAATAAAAGTTCAACCAGAAAATGGACTGTAATCGAAAAATTATGTTTAAAAGTGTTCAAGGCTTTGAAGAAAACAAAATATATCTGCGGTGGATAATTATGCACATGTAGTGTGTAAATATTGGTGTGAGACAGTGTTGGCATGTTGTGTTTGTGTTTTTAGGAAGTGAAGGTGTCATTTGTCCATATCAAGTCTGTTGCCAAGGACCCTAGGCCATGGATAACAGCGCTCCCGCACAACCCTTCATATCTAATGACTATAAAACATGACTCATATGAGTGCAGCATAGCACCTGGTGTGCTCCTGTTCACACAAACACACACACCTTTTTACCACAAAACCAAAATGACATATGTATTTATGTATTTGTGCGCCGCACGGAAGAACCATGAATCAAAAGATCAGGTGGACAGTAATAGTCATGTTCACGCACCATCAAAGAGCAGGAAAATTCCTCATGTATAAGGTAACCGGCTTAGGTCAACACATCATTGTTCACGGCAACACAAGCTGCGGAGAAGCGACGGGCAAAAATAACTTGTTTACATCACAGTGGCATTTAATAAAATCATGTTTTCTGAAAACAGACAACCATGCAAAATATATCATTAGGCTCACTGAGGCAGTGTGTCTCATTTTCTATTAATGCATTTGATTATAATGACTTGTTCTGTTTGCAGAGGACGCCGTGAAAACACACTGCACACTTTTAAGGGTTGAGTGTGTGTGTGTGTGTGTGTGTGTGTGTGTGTGTGTGTGTGTGTGTGTGTGTGTGTGTGTGTGTGTGTGTGTGTGTGTGTGTGTGTGTGTGTGTGTGTGTGTGTGTGTGTGTGTGTGCGGTTTTAGAGGTGAATGAGATAATCAAAAGTGGGGTGGAAATAATGAATGTGTGTTTGTGTCGCCAACTAAAGTCACAACATGCTAAAAAAATAATTTTAGTATGTATTGCAGACTGACTGAGCAGCACTGAATTATAAATGAAATAATTTCCCATTTACTTTATTTATGAATGAATGAGTTATTTCCAAAGAACACTGTTTAGTTGTAATCTGTTTAGAAACCAGAAAGTGAATTGAAATAAAGCACTGAACATAATTAATACTCAAAATGGTATGTATTTTTAATATTGTTTACTTATTCTAATATTCACTCAATTAACCTGTGGGTTTTAATGTTTGAGTCTTGCTAGAATAGCTCACCCAAAAATTATTATTAATTTAATTATTTTTTCTCCTGGCTATGACACAAAATTTCATCTCAGCACTTTTGATGAGTGGCTATGCTATTCTGAATATCAACATTTGTGAGATTTAGTCAGCCGTGACATTTCTGAGGTTTATTTTGTGTCTCTGGAAAATAGTGATCTATGACATTTTCTTATGTCGAATATCAAAGTTTTTTTGTGTGTCGATTTTTGTTAATGAGGGATTTATGTTTTGGGGTAAAAGTTAAGTTTAATGTTGAATTAAACAGATAAAATTAGACCCTTGGGGTAAGATGAGCCACCCAGAAGGCCCCAAGTGGCATGTTGTTACTGGTGTTGTTATTTTTAAATTGAATAATTATTGTAATTAACGGGGTTATTGTTTAATATCTCCATGAATTAGATGGACTTTCAGACATATTTACTTTCATTAAAACCCACAGGTAAATTGAGTGAAATCATTAAATGTGCATATAGTGTTGCTATATATTAAATTTTTTAAATATTCGTATGCCTGTATAAGTCACAGTGTAATTTTACATTTCAGATAAATCTTTTTTGCTTTGTCTGACATCGTTTATTCAATTATTCAACTAAATTGTCAAAATTCCATTTTAATAATAGTTGATTTAGTATTTTACATTAATTATATTATATTTCATAAAAAAAATATATAAATATTAATAAGAATTATATCAAAAGTCATTTGTACCAGTAGTGGGGTGAGATGGCCTCTTTGAATAATTTTACATTTTGTTCTATAACAACTAAATTATCAAATTATATGTATTTCCCTTAATATCACATTGGCTGGTACATCATCATCCGGCACATGCTAAACATATATCTAAATATGTTACAATTTAAAAGTAAAACCACATTGTTCTTAAGGGGGGCATCTTCCCCTAACTTTATATCACAGAACAATTGAGTTTGATTTCAAGACAGTTCTAAATCAGGATTTGCCATTGTAATGACTGGGCAGGTTTGAGGAAAAGACTGAAATGTGCAATGGTATTTACTGAACAATTATTTAGTTGATTCGGTTAACATGACTCTGCGTCCGAATATGCCTATTTCCATACTATAGGTGAAAAACAGCATGTGAGCCAAATAGTATCAATTAATACATAATAAAATATCAAATTAGTAGGGAGAAGTACCCGGATTACCTTCAGTGAGATTCTGAGGTGCTAATCCACTGGATACTTTTCTATCCCATGAGGCCACAGGAGAGTTATGACTGACGCCGCAGGTCACATGACTGTGACAACATGGCGGATGTACCTCTGAATTTCATTCACTGATTCGATTCACGACTCGATCCGTTCGCAGTAGATCACTGAAGGTTATCCGTGAATAATATAACGTTCCGACCTTTGGTCTGTTTCACACACAAAGTTATCAAATGGCTTCAGAAGACTTATAGCGCAGCAATCATGTGGACAAGATTAACTAAACGTTTGTTGTGATTGTGGATCCTTTTTGAAGCTTGAAAGCTTATTTATAGTAATTGCATGCGAAATATCTTCAGAAAGTCATTCATAGGGGTTTGGAAAGACATGAGGTGATGATGACAGAGTGTGCAGTTTTTGGGTAGGGTTCTGGTTAGACCTTTTGTTGCATGCGGGAGGTAATTATAACCCATTATAACCCATTAAAAAGTTTACATTGAATTTATTACTGCAGAGACAGATTTCCCGAATTAATACACTAACAAAGCATATTTTAACTACAACCACCATATAGCCTGACACTCTTCACACCCAAACACCACGCTTTAGAATAAACCCCATAACCTTCATTGTTAAGTCATAACAAAAATAATTTCATTAAAATTAATGATTAACAGATGATATTTAATACACATAACCAAAATATACCATGCATTACTAAGTAATACATTTAATTTAATTTAATTACTTTGCCCTTGAAAAGTAAAGTATGGGATTTTAATTCATTTTTCTGTAATTTAATTAGCTACTTCTGAATTGCATTAAATCCTGACTAGAAAAATTCTATATAAAACAATAGTGGATTTAACATCCAAATTTAACGTGTAATGTTAAAATGTTTTTAATGTAACCTTCTCTATTTAAATACTTTTAAATACTATTTTTTTATGTCTATTCTTGCATTGTTCAACTGGTTGAGCTTAATAATATAAATATAGTTAGTTATAATATAAATTGTTAGCATGTTAAATCACTGGTTTTGTGTTGCTGGTAGTGAAACTAATCCTTTACATTACCAGCCACTGATTCATCCTCTCTGTCTACACACACTTTGAAACTGACCAATAAGGGTCATCGATGGGCTGTGAAACGTGTCGGCCAATAGGAACCCCGAGGGGCGGGGCTGAACTCTCTCAACGCTGTCAAAGAATTTCCTCATGGATTTGCGGTCTTTGAGTTGTCATGTTATGAGTTGTGGTGGGAATGTTTAATTTGGATATTGTGATCGACAGTGCGGTGATGTATGAACGACTTTCGTTTTAAACTTATTTAATACGTCTTTGTTGACATCACTGCCTTCAGCACATCCCTGTGAGATCATCGCAACTTCATTTCTATGAACTTATTTCTCAGTTATGATGAATAATACGCAAACAGTTGATTTTCCCTGACCGGGGCTCATTGACAAGAATATGCTTTTGGTTTGACACTGATTCGTTTTGATAAAAGTACACTTGTGGATTCTTCAGGGAGAGACACGGGTTTTATTCCAGCATGTCCCGGAGGAAACAGGCTAAGCCACAGTATGTGCTCATCGGTGAGTTATAGCACTTTCTGAACTTGCATGCTGATGGAATTTGATCAAAGCGCGCAAATTTAGGTTTGAAAAAGTAAGGAAATAAGTACAACACTTTTAATGTTTCGCACGCATAACTCGTTTCCCAGGATTCAGTCTACAACTGTTAGTCATTGTGTACCTGTAATAGCCTATATGATCTGTAGTATCAACTAATCACTGCATGAAGTGATGTTAAATCACAGTGTCATTTCAACTTAGAAGACAAGCAAATTATGTTTTCATTGTATAGTTTTAATTTGATATGTTGGTGATGGCTCTCTTTACAAATGTTCAAACCAAAAAACGTATGATGACAAATATTAAAATCTTATTTTTAAAATCATTTTAGTCAATATTTAGTTGTGTCCCACATTTTGCACTCAATCCTGTTACTGCATGATTTTCAACCTATTTCAAATTTGACATTCCATTAAAAAAATGTTTTAAACATTTTGGACATTACATGGCGTGAAAATACCAAGTAAAATTTCGAACTAAATTTCTAAATTCGTACACAATTTGTAACTTGAGTGACTCTGTCAAACCACTGAATGGGATAGTTTAATTTAGGCCGGTCAATGCACTGAATGCATTCATTTTATTTTATTTTGATGTTTATTTAATGTTTATTGCTAGAAAATAATAACTGTTGACAAAAAAACCCTATTGTTGTACCCTATTAATAGAAGGTTCATGCTGTAAAAAAATTAGTGACAGCAGATGAAATGAAATTAAATAAGCATTAAAAACAAACCCTACTAATTTTATAAACATGCTTTTCTGATATTAACTTTTCAAAGTGTTTGCTGGACCTTGTCTGTCTTTCATTTCCAATGCTGAAACACACACACACACACACACACACACACACACACACACACACACACACACACACACACACACACACTATAGGCCAGTTTTGTTACAACTCTTCCCACCGCTGCAATGTGTTATATTGCTGGCTGTTGCAGAAATGTATGAGGTCATCATGAATGTAATGGATCAAAATTTACTTTTTCATTAAATATGCAAGTTTTATCATTAAAATGTAAAACAAAACCTGTGAAGATATCCTTGATATGCACTTGAAACAAAGGTGTTCTATTTAATGAATGTCAGTCTGGAAATTCCAATGAAATACAGTGTATTTAGGAGATATTTACAAGATGCTCAAAATGCCATGAAGTTATTCTGAAATTTGTGCAGATTTTGCTACATGATCATTTTTTTAAATTACTACTTGATAACTATGAAGTTATTCGAATTTAATTTTGAGACAATATCATGTATTGTTATGGCTGTTGAGAAGAAAGCTACTGTGTTGTCTATTGCTAAGCTTTAAGTTTGCATTGAGTTGCATTACATTGAATCTAAAATGCTCTAATATACACATTTATATCTTTTTCTTCTTGAAATACAGATTATATGATGGAGAATGACCCCACTCCAACCCACGGTGTCCATATGTGTCAACAATGCTGTGCTGAATTTTCCAGTATAACAGACCTCTATCAACATCAGAAAGACTGTTCAAAGGACCAGTTAGTTCTAATAGTAAGTGGAAACGAAAGCCTAGATTCTCCACCTTCTGGCCTCACAATCAATTCATCATTCTTCAACACTGAGGAGCATTTGAATGGAGTGACAAGTAATGACAGTACGGAGGAACATTGTGACTTTTCTAATGGTAGAGCATCAGTGGATGTTGACGAATCCTTACACATATATGAAAACTGCAATCATGACATTGCCAAAAAGTCTAATTTACATCATGATAATGAAAACTATGCTGATGGCTTTAGCTCAGCTGTCCTACCTCAAGAGAGTACCTTACTTGAGTTATGTAAATTGTCAGCCATTAATAGCAATGTCTTCATTGAGAACCTTGAAAACACCAAAGTTGCTGTTGCTCAGTTCTCACAGGAAACTAGTTTGAATCCAAAGACAAGTTGCAGGAACTCTAGCAACACCAAATTGGCCTCCTCTAGTTTGATTGAGCAGCTGTTATCACTGCAGCAACAGCAGATGCAGCAATTCAAACTAATTGAAGATATTCGACACCAAATAATGCTATTAGTAACCCAAAATTCTGATAAACCTTTGGCAACAAACACCCACAGTGGTCTGTTTCAAACCAGTTCACTGAGAAAACTCAGCTCACACCTCACACAACAACTCACAACAGCTGCTGGGCTAGTGGAAAACCTAACTGCTAATGCTAAACAGTCTAAACATGTTATTTCACAAAACAACCAAGATGGTTTAAGGGATGAAAAAGGAACCTCCCAAATGACTGAAAAAAATAGAGACGACCCTTTGCCATCAAAGGTTGGTAGTGATCGGTGTAGTAATCCATCTTTGCCAGGAAACACAGTCAGTGATAAAGTTGATGGCTCAGCTAATTTAAAAACAACTTCACCATCTCCTGCTTCATTTACAGATGGGATTCTAAACAAACTCGAATTGGCCCATAAACAAAACAGCTTTAATATGTTTGAAAACTCCTTGCCTAGGATTGGGGCAATTGTAGAGGACCTGAATGCTTTAACTGCCCTAGCCCAACATAGGAAAGTCAAACCTCTCAATGTGAGTTTATGTGAACACAAGAGGCCATCCGAAGATTGTATATTCAAGCACAAATGCAGGTTCTGTGCCAAAGTATTTGGAAGTGATAGTGCTTTGCAAATACACCTGCGGTCTCACACTGGAGAGCGACCCTACAAATGTAACATATGTGGGAATCGATTTTCCACCCGTGGAAATCTCAAAGTCCATTTCCAACGTCACAAGGAGAAGTATCCTAACATACTAATGAATCCTTATCCGGTTCCAGAGCATTTAGATAATGTCCCAACCAGCACAGGTATTCCTTATGGCATGTCTCTGCCTCCTGAGAAGCCTGCTCTTAACTGGTTGGATAGTAAACCTTTAGTGGGTAACTCTCTTGGCTTTGTGCTTCCATCATCTTTGCCAAGTCTTCCACCCATCATTAAAAAAGAGGAGGAAGGGGTATCAATAACCAAACCTCATAGTCCTGTTGTCAGTGAGGTGTGTGAGAGAAGTAACAGGCATCAAGAGGGATTTAGCAGTAGCCCTCCTCTAACTTCAAATGAGAAACTTCAAGAGGTTACACAACCCTTGAGTATCGCTACCTTACTAAGCTCCTCAGGGGAAGGTTTAAGAGATGACATTGCTATTAATACCTTGGTCAGTACAAGATTAATAACTGAGCTAAAATCAGAGCAGCTAGAAACCAAATTTCTTTTTGGAAGTCTTCCAAATCCCTCCGGAGCATCTGAGACTTCAAAGCTGGAGCAGTTGGTGGAGAACATTGACAAGAAGTCTACTGACCCTAATGAGTGTGGAATCTGCCACCGGGTTCTTAGCTGTCAAAGTGCCCTTAAAATGCATTACCGCACCCATACTGGAGAAAGGCCATTCAAATGCAGGGTGTGTGGACGGGCTTTTACAACTAAGGGCAATCTCAAGACACACTATAGCATTCATCGTTCCATGCCAACTCTTAGAAAACAGCATTCTTGCCCCATATGCCAAGAAAAGTTTACAAATGCAATGGTTTTACAGCAGCATATCCACATGCATATGGGTGGTCACATCCCTAACGTCCCACTGCACGATAGTGAAGAACCAATGGACCAGGACACTGACTCTGTAGATGGTAGGACCTTGGAAGTGGATACCTTTCCCAATGAGAACATAGAAATTATGGAAGGTGTATCTGATTCAAAATACCAAGACTCTTTACCAGAAAGTCTAAGTTCTTCAACTGCTTCTTCTGTGTTTGCCAGAGCCACTGGGTCAGAAGGTCAGATTACAGTTTCAAATGTGGAGAATTTGTCAAACATCAATAAGTTGACTATGGGGAATGGATCAGTGGATAGAGACTGTTTAACCCAGAGATCATCTTCACTAAACAGGGATCATGAGAGTTTAAGGAGGAGGATTTTGGCCATCACTGAGACAAACCCCTCCTGGAACCCATCCTGCCCCAATGGCCGTGCTTATGAAATGCAAGGATACACGACAACTGACAGAAACCTGAAATCTGCTGAATCAAACAACTCAAGCCTACAGCCTAGTCCCACAGTGTCTAGTTTACTTGACGGAACATCTGGAGATGTACCAAACGATAGCTTGACCATGATTTTACCCTTCAATGACCGGGTATCCCTAAAAAGCAATGTTTGTGATATTTGCAACAAGACGTTTGCCTGTCAAAGTGCTTTGGACATTCATTATCGAAGTCACACCAAAGAGCGCCCATTCATCTGCACTGCGTGCAACAGAGGGTTCTCAACCAAAGGTAACCTTAAACAGCACATGCTTACCCACCAGATGCGAGACTTACCTTCACAGCTGTTTGAGCCAGCAAATCAGATCCTGATTTTTCCTCCAAACCAGTTTTTACCCTCCATGGAACCAATCATTCCGTCAAAAAGAATTGAACACAATTGGCTCATTAAAAAAGATCCTAAAGATTCACCCGCAGGTGTAGTTAGCTCAACAGCTTCCACATTACCTCTACTCTCCACACCAACATTAACAGCAACACCACCTCGACGAACTGCTAAACAGCACTTCTGCCACACTTGTGGGAAGACCTTCTCTTCTTCAAGTGCACTGCAGATTCATGAAAGAACCCACACTGGTGAGAAACCCTTTGCCTGCAACATATGTGGACGTGCATTTACCACTAAAGGAAATTTGAAGGTACACCATTCCAAGGTTGTTAAAGGTGTTCCATCACTGATTGCCAGTTTGTATTTTGTTGCTGTGTATGGAATCAGTTGTATTATCCCAGATACCTTATGACCAACTATCTACTTGCCATTTCCATCCTGTTTTCCATCTAGGTTCATATGGGAACACACATGTGGAGCAGTTCTCCAGCCAGACGAGGTCGCAGGCTTGATGGTCCACTCCTTAGGTCCAATTCTGAGCGATTTCAAGACACTCCTCCAAAAGATGTTGTGGATAAAGTATGTAACGGGGATTCCATAGGTCTCTGGGGCCAGTATACCTCTCTCACTGGTTCTTTGGGTATGAGGACCAATGAAATGCCTGTAATTCAAAATGGTGCCATACCTCACCTGTCGACTTCTGCTGGGCATCTGGAAAACTTAGAAAAATTACAACTCAACAGAGCTTTACCTTGGCTTGAGAGATTGAGCGAAAATGGTGCAACTTTTCATTTCCGGCAATTGGTTGAAGATAATAAAACAACAGTGACTGATTGAATTTCGTCTTTTAGGATGCAAACCCATAATTTAAATGTGATGCAATTTCATAGGTGTGCTGTTTCATTCAGGTTTTTTTGTACAAGTGTACCCTATGTAGTGACATTATTAAAGATTCTGCTGTTGGTTAATGTTGCCTAGTTTGGGTAGATCTTCACAACTGAAGTAGTGTTGATTGTATTGTATTAATTAATTTGATGCTATTTTGTTGTTTTGCTGAGGAAGATATGCAGCTATGATCTATTATTTTATAGCATTTAAGTTTTTTTAATAATTGAAGGTATTCACGCTGCACATTTGCTAAACACTTGGTTGTAATATATAGGTTTTGTAATGAGGTAAATTTGTATTTAATGGAGAAATGAATCTATTTCTTTATCCAAAACTATTTATCAATCAGTGTTTCACATTAATATAATTTGAGCTTGAATTGTGTGTTCTTTTTATACTTACAGTATTTGCATTGTTAATGTAAACAACACTAAACATACTAAAACTATTTTTTATTTTTGTATTGTTTTAAAACATACTCTGTACATTTAAATTGTTACATTGGAGGAACTGTTATGTATGACGTTAGTTCATGTTGTGGCATCATGTCTTGAATGTTATGGCAACTGCAAATTCTCAAAGCCATTTTTCCATTTTAACTGTCATTTGGCTTAAACAAAGCACAATCATTTCACTTCCCATTTGATTAATAAAAGGAGTGTGCTTTTGAAATTACTCATTATAAGTTGTCCCATATGAGTGTGTATACCTCCAAGCACCTGTCTCCTCTTCCAGTGATTTACTTTTAACAAAGAAATGATTCTTTCCCTACTTCCACACACAAGCAGAATTCATGCCCTTTCTCTACTGATAAAAATCTAGGTCACCTTGTCCTCTGCATTTACATTTCAATAAACTTACCAATAATAACACATTGTGTTAATACGCAATGATCTTTGCCAATGGAAGATGATACTTCTTCAACCAAATAGAATAATAGAGGCCATTCATGCAGCAGGTACGACTCATCAGCTCTACCTCATGTCTGTACACCACACAGACAGATGGTGAGCAATGGTTTAGCGTTTCTTCTGTGTATGTCCGTTTGATATCTGATAAAATGCTTTATCTGAACATGTTGTGGTTGTTTTTACTGTGGTGGTTGTCATATGGTAAAATGTTATGAAATGGCTACTGACTGTTATAATTGTGTTTTCCATAGCTGCTCCCACTGAGTCCCAACTAAGATTTCTTGCTCATTTTAGTCAAGTCAAGTCACCTTCATTTATATATAGCGCTTTTAACAATAGTTAAAGTGACAGAGTTGTTTTGGCTTTACAGCAGCTCTAGAATAAAGTTATTGTCCAGCTGAAGTTAGTTTTGATCGATTCACTTCCATTGCAAAGATCATTAGTTATTAATTAACCGTTCTAACAGAAAACCCTTAACACGCTCCGGCCGCTCATTCGCACAACAACAGTGTTTGGTGGCTCGAGAACGCAAACCCCGAAATAGGTTCCAAGGTGCAAGCCTTGAAGAATATATATTATTATTGTTGTTTTATCTCTGCGCAAGCTTTAAAAACGCAAGCCTGTGAAAACGCTGATGGCGTGCACATGCGTATTACGTGTTTAGTCTATAGGTATGCACGTTAGAATATATATGTGCGCAGGCGTGTCTTTCTTTACAAATTTTACCCAAAAAAGCTTACAAATTGTATTTTACCCAAAAACTTAATAACAGATTACTTTACTGGTGCTGTTATATTTGTCTAGACCTCATTAGGGCTTGTCAGATGTAGTCTTGATAGCATTATTAAAACTATTACGGCATACAAATGAGTGGTCCATTGTGTGGTGAGCTCCTCCATAGTGATACATCCTGCAGAGTTGCTTTATATGACCAAAAACATCTGACTCATTGGGGTCTGTTGAGTAATATATCCATTGATTGTCATGACAATAATACCTCATACCAAATCCCTCAGTGAATAAGATCTGCCCTCTTAACTGTCAAAGTCCATTAAACACTCTTCCCAGCGCAGCGACCAGCTGACGGGAACCCAACACCATCCCGCCTGCCACCATTAGCATTATAAAATGAGCAATCGGCTAGAATGAAGCTCAAGGGAGTACAAAGCTCTCCAGATACATATCTGATTCAAACAGATGGGAGGCACTGGAGGTGTAAGCAGGCGGTCAAATACCTGACGAGTGAACGGGTGAAGTTCCCAGATACATGGGTGTTCCCAAAATGGTGGCTTGTATTTTTCCTAAAACAGACATGAAAATTAGAATATTAAAATATTTCATTTTATATTAAACATTTTTTGACAGTTTATCAGTATTAGGGTGAAAACCAGTCAGGGAAATGTCCAGGTCATATTTCACCCTAAAATCACAATTGCATTATATTTCATAAAGAAAATAAAGCCTATTTTTGGACCCCTTTTTTGCATTGCATTCCATTATTTAAATGAAAATTGTTGCCACAAAAACTTGCATTACACGCACACACAAAAAAAGATATTATTTCAATGTTAAAGTATTCACAGATCACTATAGTAAAATAAAGAAATATTATACAAAAAAAATATTGAAATGAATGAGAAGGAGAAATGTTGAGGTATTTAGGGGGAAATGTGATATGAAAATAATGTTACAACATAAAACGTATGAATGGTTCTAAAAAAAACATCGTATGCAAAATATGATTTCTTATTTATTTCTTTTCACTTTGAACGGACACAAGCAATATAAATAGCTATACACTCATTTGCATTAATTTGTTATGTAAATATATTTTTACTCAAACAACTTGTCAAAGGGACTGTATTGTGTAATGACAGCAATATTACAATAATTTCAGACACAGACAATAGATTAGAAGTCAAAATAGGTTAGTTTCATTGTTAAAAAAACAAAAAAAAGAATGTGCAACCCTTTTCCATGTGTTAAAGGAAGGAGAGTGACATGAAAAACAGAGAGTGACACAAGAGCCATCGAACTGTCCACCGGCCGGACAGCTTTTTCTAAGAACTCATCACAGAGGAACAAAACAGCGCTTTTCCAATCATCACATATTTCTGTGCAAAACTGCTGACATCAACCACTGTTTACAATGCAAAGAAAGAATTTCCTGTGTAAGCATTTTGTCTGCGATCATCACACTTTTGTTGGACTGACAATGGAAATATTCAATAACAGAGCAACGGCCAAATCTCCAGCAGGGCTTAAAAGTATCAGCCCAAACCCGACTATTGATAACACTGTGATTATGGCATTGTGTGAGGCATCCGTATGGCTCAGATCATATCTGATCATAAACGCTGTGTGGACTCTTTTGATGACCATGGGATCAGTCAGCGCTGTATATAACAGAATAACACTCACGGGACAGCTGAGTTTGCCATTTTTTGATTGTGACAAACACAGAGGGGATTGTTTCCCAAATAAGGCAGTAGAGAACCTTTGCTGACCCTTTGATTTGATTTTAAAAAGTCATTTTAGAAAACAATCACTATTTTATTTTCATTACATTATATTAATGACATTTAGTTGGAGTGAATTATTCACTTTAATTATTACTTTAAGCTGTTCTATATTTCCCAGTTCAGCTTTAGTCATTTAAAATTAAAAACATTTTCAATATTTAATAGACTTTTACTAGTGACCTTTGAATATTTGAGTGGTTGCAAGGGTGCTCATGAGTGTTAGTTGGAATACACTACACGACTTTTAAAATCTGAACAGATTTTAAAACACTAGACATCTTACACTTTGCCAACTTTAAAAACTGGGCATCATTATTTCACAACAAACTCATGCAGAAACTAAATGTGTTCTGAAAACATGTTTGATAATGCTGGACAAATTTGGGTAACACTTTACTTGAAGGGGTGTGCATAAGACTGACATGACACCTTCATAATCATGACATGACACATGTCATGAATATGAAGGAGGGTTTATGCATGTTTATGACAACTGTCATTAAGTGTCATTTGCTCAATTATGACATTTTTAATGCAAATATGACATTGTTTGAGATGTCTTTGTTATGACAACTTGACATAAACCAATACATCATAACCTGTCAGTGTCTTTGTTATGACAACTTGACATTACTAAGACAACACAAATTGTTATAAATGTGTCATAAACATGACATTGCAGATTAATCATCAAACTTAAGAAACCACTTAGCGTTATTGGTTAACATTACATTAAACTGTCAGGTGGTTGGTTTTGACATTGGCTGTCATGAGGCCATTATAACATTTTAATGACAAATTCAATGTGTACCAGCGCTGTAGTTGAGGTCAAGAAAAATATTCATGACACAGTTATAATGCCTCATGACAGCCAATGTCAAAACCAACCACCTGACAGTTTAATGTAGTGTTAACCCATAAAGCTAAGTGGTTTCTTAAGTTTGATAATTAATCTGCTATGACATGTGTATGACATATTTATGACAGGTTATGATGTATGGTTCATGTCAAGTTGTCATAACAAAGACATCTCAAACAATGTCATATTTGCATTAAAAATGTCATAATTGAGCGAATGACACTTAATGACAGTTGTCATAAACATGCATAAACCCTCCTTCATATTCATATTCATGACATGTGTCCTGTCATGATTATGAAGGTGTCATGTCAGTCTTATGCACACCCCTTCAAGTAAAGTATTACCCAAATTTATAATCTGAAGAACCACTGAAAGTCTGTCAACTCCAGCTAGCCATCTATAGTGTCGTCTTGCTCTGACTGTATGTTGGGGGGAAATCTGTGTAAAAGTTGTGAGTTGTATTCCAGTCTTAAAGGGTTAGTTCACCCAAAAATATATATTTGTTCATTTATTTATCAATTACTCACCCTCATGTCGTTCCAAACCCAAAATACTTTCTTTCATCTTTGAAACACAAATGAAGAAAACCTGAGAAATTTCTGTCCCTCCATTGAAAGTCTGTTCACCCGAAACATTCATAAAGAGATCGTAAAATAAATCCATGTGAACCAAGCGGTTTAACAGAAAAGTCCTCTAAACAGAAGCTCAAGCTTGAATAAAAAAAATATCTTCATTTGTGTTCTGAAGATGAACGAAAGTATTACGGGTTGGGAACGGCATGAGGGCGAGTATGTGATGATGACAGAATTTTCCTTTTTGGGGGGAACTGCCCCTTTAATGTGTTGGTAGGTGCTGTAACTGGTTGCTAGGGTGTTGCTATAATGTACCCAAATGGCGTCCCACTCCCATGTCTACTATGATATTCTGGTACCAAGATATGGCTGGGTCACATTACTGTGTGGTTTATATGGTGTTCTAGGTGGTTGCTTAAAATAGTCCAGCACAAGTCTCTGTTTTAATGAGATCTCATTCACATCTGTAGCACAAACATTTATACCAGAAAATATGAAAAGTATGAGGAATATTTAAATGCTTTGCATAAAAGTACCACAAAATATAAATACATTTATGAAAATGGAATGTATTGATTGACACTTTTGCCATTCATTTCAATAACAAAATGTGACTCTACATACAATCTTAAACTTTTACTCTATTTATGATTTAAAATGGTTCACCCAAAAAGGAAAATTCTGTGATCATTTGCTCACTCGTGTCATTCCAAACCTGTATGACTTTCTTTCTTCTGCAGAACAAAAAAATATGATATTTTGAAAAATGTTAATGTTTTTTGTCTATACAATGAAAGTCAAATGGGTT